GGGAAATCCCTGGATCCTGGATTTGATTTCATATTTGTTTCTGCCCTACCCTGCCCCACCACCCTCTCCTTTGCCTGTTCTCTTGGTGGTCTGCATGTTTTTCCCTTTGGCTCCCGTTAACACAAGCCAGGTCTTCCCAGGGTGGGCCATGGTCCAGAGAAGAGGTTGGAGAAGCAGCTGGGTGTAATCAGAGATCCAGGGACCAGGAAAGATTTACTTTTCATTCAAATGAAGTAATAATGTCCCACAATCAAATGTGTCCTCAAGACATTAGACAAACACAGGCTTGAGAACTCAAAGGTTGAAGGGGAACCTCTGAGCCATGCAGGAGATGCCAAGACCTGCAGATGGTGCGAAGACACTGCACAGCCCCTAGGGAGCACGGCTGGGACAGCAGGATGCAGGAGTGAGGGGCAGCCAGGGAACAACATGGACAGAGGGTGCATGCGGTTTAGTACTGTTTGCAGGTGGCCCTGCTGTTCTTTGGCTGGCCTGTTCAGTCCTGCACAGCATCTGGAGCCAGGGGTAGGGATCTTCCTTATCTCAGCTGTGCCCATGCCAGTGCACTGTGAACCCAAAAGATGAGCTTGGCACTTGCAGCAGGAAACATGGAGCTTGTTCCCACTTGACTCTGTAGCTTGCACGATGCCCCCTGCAAGGGCAGACCATGTACACTCTGCATTGGAAATAAGATTTTGTTTTTCCACTTCATGTGGTTTTCCTTCATATTAATTGATACCTAAAGAGTGCACAAGGTAAGGGCAATCTTGTCCACAGTCCAGAAGGGTTACCTGCAAAGAAAGGCTTTCCGCTTCATGGTGCTAAGCAGCTACGTTAATGCTTGAGTGCAGAAGACCCTTTCTTTAACCACAACTTTAACTTTAGGATGTCCTTTAGCCTTGGCTCAATCTGCAAGCAACATAGTCTTGAAACCACTTTTTGTGTCTCTCCCTGGGCCACTGCTGAGAAAGGGTCTGGCCTGATTATAAGCTCATTCAGAATAATCTCACTGAAACTCCCCTCTTCCAAGGTTTTAACAGAGAGTGTCAGTTCCAACATCACCTGTGGAGACAACTGCCACAGCAGAACACTGGAGTCCCCGGACTCCCTCCTCTTCCTCTATGCCCCCTGCAGCAGCTATGTGGCTGACCACAGTTCTCCAACTCATGCATTTGCTACAACCCAGCACACACCGTGGCTCCTGAGGTCACCATATGAACAAGCCCACAACCACTTAGCTTCCCAGACAGAGTGAAATCAGTTCAGTATGACCACCAACAACCTTTCCTCTGTCCCTCTCCCGTGACTATGAACTGATTCACACAGTAAAAGCAATGCCATCTGTTCCAGGAAAAGTTAAATATGTTAGTGACAAGACATGAACACAATGCCAGCCAAGTGCTTGCAGTAATTGCTCCATGGTTATATATAACACTGAGGAGCACCCATTGGAGGCCCACGCTGAATTTATATCCCCACTGGCCCCTAGCACTCATCCCAGACATGGATCTGCTTTCAGCTGCTGAAGGGGAACTCCAGCTTTGTCAGGAAAATTGATCTTGGTCCATTCTCCAAGATACGGGGAAGTGCTGAAAACATGTACAGTCAAGTGTCCCAGGATGGGATAAATCAGTTCAGGCACATCACCTTCTCAGAGCCACAGCCTCCAAAACAACCAGAGATGCTCCAGCTCTTTGCAGTTATTCACCTGGCCTTGCTGGGGTTTCCCTTCACCTCCATGTGTACAAGGCAGAGCATGAAGTCGTAGCTTCCTAGAAAAGTTGGAAGCCTCCCACAGCCACCACTAAGTGCATTCTTGCCGTCTCCCATGGACATTTCACAATGCGCCCGCAAACACCCTGCCAGATTTAAAAACCAGAACTGCAGCCCCTGAGGAGGCGAGAATAAACGACATCAGAGAAAGACAAGGAGAGTCAGGAAGGCCAGTTTCCCTAAAGAGCTTACAAGGAAGCTATCAGATCGTACAAATGTTTCTCTATCTTCCTTCTGCCTGCAAGACCACAGCAGAGGTTATCACCAACCCCTCCGAGACATCTTCAGCTTCTTTTTCAATTAATTAATTAGAGGAATTCACCTTTGGTGAACGTGGAAGGTTTCCAGTCAGCTGTGCTACTTTGCAGGTGTACTGCAGGCAGTGTCCCTGGTGGGCTCTCCTTGCCTGGTCCTCCAACACTCACCAGGTAGGAGCAGTCTAGGCAGGGCCACGCTCGCTTGTGCCTTACCTGCACGTGATGGTCAGCGTATCCTTGGCGTTGATTATGTGTTCCTCCTCAGTGATGCTAAGAGTAGGGGGGGTCATAGAATAGCTGCTCACCAGATCTGTGGAGAGAAAGAAGAGAGGGGATGATGCAGACATCTGCTAGTCTGGACCCACCACTGTGAGCAGCAGCTAGCCCAGCATCACAGCCTCTTGAAGGAAACAGCTTGTAGGAGTCTGCTCTTAAAAGACAGTTTAATGCTGGCTCATTGAGCCACAAGTGGTTCATTTGCAGCCTCTCTGGCTACAGCAAGCAGCTCTACAGCAACAGCCCTGGGGCCAGACAGTTCTTGGGCTCAGACAAACAGACTAGCACAGATGAGGGCCAGAAAAAGAATGGAAGACCAGAAATCAGGGAATTCAGGTGTGGCCATTCCTCACCAGGTGACTGAGATTGAGCTCATTTGGAGCAGGGCTCTGAAATGGTCTTATCTGCTAATTGGAGGGAGTCTGGCAGGAGATTTTTTCTGTACACACGTAGTTTTCTCTAATTAGGGGCACAAATCAGGGTGCCCAGATACCACAAATGCAAAACTTGCATTTGGGCAGAGATGCTCTCAGAAGCTGGCAGTGATTTACTGAACACCCTTCTCTTGCTGGGCACTCTCAGGTACAGGATCAAACCTTTGGGGATTACAACAGTCCCCTTCTCTGCACCAAAGCTGGACAGGCATTCCAGGAGTGAAACTGTCCAGGCTCAAGGACAGGCAGTTAAACATTATCCCAGTGTTCTTCCAGCTTTCATCTGGGAGAGTCCCACTTCTCCAGTGCTTGCATCTCCGGCACGCCAGACACGCACCGTACACGAGCTCCTCATGGACAAAACATCTCGAAGTACCGGTTACCCTCAGAGACATACCCCTTGTTTTTCATTAGCACAGTGTTACCGACTGTCATTACTTCGTGATCTTTATCTGAGAACTCCAGCTCCTGGAGATGTGAGATAATTCAAAAGAAAAGTCTTGGTGACTGCAAAAACAAGCAAGTAAACTAACCCGAAATAGAAAAAACCATCAAAGTTGCGAAATGTGAGGCTGTGACTCAGGTGGATGTTAATGCTAAGGAAGAAAAGAATGCAAAAATATGTTGCTAGCTCGATTTTCTATAGAAACACGAGGGGTTTGCAACCACGTTGTTGTTTGTGTCTCTGCCTCCTTCCCCCGTAACACTCAAAGCCATGTACCAGGGATGTGACAGGGAGATCTGACAGATCACAGGCAGCAGGAGCGCGGTGCGACACCTCTCCTCCAAACCACGGCCTGGCGTCCACAGCCCTTGGAAGCCACACGATGAATGTGCCTCCATGGGGAGGTCGCCACAGGAGACACCGAGCGCCCACCGGCCCCTCTGGCACAGGGTCTCTGAGGAGACATGCCCATGGGGCAGCCGAGGTGCCCGGCTCCACC